ACTACAAAGGTCAGTTTCTTGGTTAATTTTTGTTTGGATTATTTGCTTGCTTCTAACTGACAAAGTTCCTGTTCTTACCTCTTGAAAGACATTTTTTTCTTCACACTTTCAAAAAAGGCATGGTCGTTTTTAATATTTAGAAATAACAATGATCAAAAGATTTATACAATTTTGTGAAACGAAAATTTTCGTTAAATTAAAAATATGACGCAATAAGAGTGAGGCATCGGCTATCAAAAATTTAAGCTCGCCTACCTCTTTGAATTTGATTAATCTATTATTAACACAACTGGCCTGACAAGAAGACTCATAGGCTGATTTGCAAGTATTTGTAAGTCAAGTTCATGAAGACTTCACCATTAACTCTGATCATATATTTTATCGATTTTGTTGTTTTCTTGCAAAAATTCTTTAGTCCTATCTTTACTCCATCCTTTAACTTTTTCTTCTGTCGGGAGATCTACTGTTAGAAGGAAAGATGCTTGAAACGTTACAAGAGGATCGGAATAACTATTAACCCATCGAACTATGTATCAAGATTGCTCTCAACTTTTCATTTCACTTTATCGTCCTTCTCAAGAGCCTATACACAAATCATCAACAACAGTCAATACATATACTAAACAACGCTTCTTCGACATACTCTCAATATCGAAAAGATCAAATGGGTGTCTCCCTGGCCAGGGAGATTTTACGAAATAATTGGTCATTCGTCATTCGATGTTAACATCCAGCCAAAAACACAAATCATTATTATTATCAAAATCAAAAAAATCTATCTAATATCATATGCTGTAACCAAATCAACACACCCAATATGAATCACTGCAATAACAATATTCTATTACGACGCGTTATAATGGTTTTCCTAACAAAACTTGTCTCATCTGTTTGAACCAATTACTACTAATCACGTATGTTTATTTTCTAAATCCCAGCTGTAAATAATTGCCTGCTCCTTAATATAACAACAGCTCTAATATTTGAATTATTTGAATCAACCTCTAAATTGAGAAACAAATAAGCATCAAAAGAATTAAATAAAAAATTATATACAGTTTATTATGTTTAGAAGGTCATGGTCATTCCATTCCACATGAATACTTCAAAAGGAACATTTACTTTTAAAGTTTCAAATTTATATTATCGACTTTTCAAAATCAAAATTATCAGATCAAGCAAGGGTAATTCATAATATTAATTATAGAAAGAAAGAATAAATATATGATGTTTTTAGTTGGGAAAATTTTAAAAAATATTACTATTGTTAATTAGCTTTACTCACATATATTTTTATAGATTCAAGAGAACATTTTTTCTATATTCCCAATATTTAGAGCGAATCATATCATGTTTTTCGGCCAACAATGTGCAAGTCTAGTAATGAAATTATTTGATTATTTTTAAAAAACAATAAATTTAAATTATTCTAAAAATTATTAAATTACATATACTAAAAAACAAACAAACCTTAATTCCTTCATCCTTGTCTTTTTCAAATCCAAGTTTTGCACGTCTTTCATAAATATTTACTAAACAACCAAGTGCATGAGGAGAAATATTTTCCTTTTCAATAAGTTCTTTACACAAACTTTCTAAAATGTCTATTTCCTGATTAGATTTTGCAATAACTCTAAAAAAAAGATATATATATATATATTTCTAATATTATAAAATAAATAAATTTATATGAATGCGAATGAGAATAAGGTTTTTTTTTTACCCTTTAACATAATTCCAAGGACTTATATTGTTTGGTGTTATTTTAATTTTAGATATTGCATAGCTTTATGAATAATTGACAAAAAAAAATAATTAATAATAATAATAATAACAACAACAAAAATAAAACTTTTAAAGTATGAAGTTTACATACTTTATTTCACGAGAAATCAAATCATCGGATGGTTCTCTAGGATTATGAAATAAAACAAAGTATCTTTGATTCCATGCAGAATTATTTCTTATATCATCATCTAAAAGCGTGTCCAAATATAAAAATTCCTCGTCCCAAAGATTAAATGATTTAATAACCCATTGTCTTTCGATGATACCAATAACAATATATAGTTAAATAATGATAATAATACATATATCATTCTAGAAGTTATAATATTACCTATAAGTCCATGCATGATAATTTTTTGCGTCATCTCTTAACACATCTTCGATGAATGATATTTCCGATGAATGATCCTCAAGTTTTTCAACAATTACATGTCGATGATGCCTTAATATACAAACAAACAAACAAGCATACATACATATGTTGGATGACTGATTGCAAAAAAAAAGAAAGTCATATTATGAAATAAATTTTTTCTTTATTACCAAAGTTGATAATTTTTGGGATTTTCAAGTATTTGATTTTTAACATATTCCAGTTCTTCATACAAATTGCTATTCAAAGCAAACAAAATTTTTTGACGATAATACCTTTTCAAATAAAATAATAAAAATTTGTTGGTTAAATCTATCTATACACACATATTATATATAAAATAAGGAATTAAAAAATTAAATTTACCAAATGGTATAATGAGCTGGATTGTGTGAAATAATTGCTTCCGTTAACTTTAGAGCCCTTTCACTATATTCTTCTTTTCGAGAAATTGCTCTAAAATAATCCATTATACGAGAGTCTAATTTGAAAAAATAATTATTATTAAGCTAAAACTACATTCATTATATTTTTTAGAAGAAACTTTTATTTTACACTCTGGATCATAATTTATTGGTGCTAATGGATTAGGACCATCGTCTTGCGGAATTGGCACGACGTCTTTCCATTCTTGTTCATCAAAAGACATTATAAAAAATATTTGAAATTTTGGTATTGTACAAATTCGATCATCCTTTAATATTAAGCAGAGTGATCTACATAAATAAAGATTTGCGATAAATGTTGAAATTATAGAAAGGGTATATAATAATAAGACAATTGCATCAACAACATCATCAACAATGACAAGAGCAGCTTTAAATCATTGGTTTACAAGTTCAAATCGTCTATTATTGGACTTAAGATCTTTGGATGTTCATTGCCGTCGCAGAATAATTCCTTCAGCTTGCATACCTGTATCAGATTTGAATTTGTATTGGTTTGAATTGCCACCAAAATCCATTCCATTTGCTGTACTAGAGCCAAGTGATAATAAAGGTGTTGCTAACCAATTACTCAAAGATCATGGATGGAGGATCAATTGGGTGTTTAATGAGGCTGATGATGAAGTGTGGAAATTTGCTAAAGAATTTAATATTCTTGAAATTTGTGAAAATATATTATCATCTCCAACAAATAATAACAATAATAACAATAACAATAATAGTGGTAATAGTGATTGTAAGATGAAGAAATGGTTTTTATTTCAACCAAATCCTTTTCTAATGAATAATATTGAATTAATAGAACAATCATTAATTGGTGAATCATTTATGTATGATCAACAAAAAAAGGTTTTTAATTGCTTGGATGTTGGATGTGGTAGTGGTAGAGATATTTGTTGGCTTGGTGCAAGGAAATCATCTGGTGTTGATTGGTATGTTACAGGTATGGATGTGTTAACAAGTGCACTTGATCGTGCCAAACTCTTAGCCAAACGAATGGATGTACTGCATAAAATTCAAACAATTAATGCTAAAATCTTGAATAATGGAAATATCAAGTTGCTATTACCAATAAGGAAGGATGAAAATAAAGAAATTATTACAAGCGAAAAAGAGCACAAGAAAGAAAGTAATGAAGAAGAAATTCTAAATAAAAGATATGATCTTGTTCTTTGTATAAGATTTCTAAATAGAAATTTTTTTGATAGAATGATAAATCTTGTAAATCCAGGCGGATTCCTATTACTAAGTACATTTGTTGATGATAAGATACATGTATATGAAAGGCCTCATAGCGATGAACATAGGTTGAAATTGGGCGAACTCTCAGAAATAGTGAAAAATAAATATCAACACTTTAATATAATCCAAGATAAAATTGAATTTATTGAAGATGGTAGACCTGTTAATTCTTTTCTAGTTAGAAGAAAAAGTGATGATAATAATGTGTTATAGTAATAGTTATATTATATATGACTTTGCAATGCATTTTCATTTCTTACTAATTTATTTTGCATGAATAATTATATTATATAACTTTTCAACTCTTCAAATTATAATGCAGAGGATCATTTAATGTTCATTTTTGTAAACCAAAAACAAAAATATGGCTTGTGGTGTTTGAGAAAAAAAATTTTAAAAAATTATATCTATTACGCTTTAATGCTTATATTAACTCATAATTATATATCTAACATGACCACCACCTCTTACTTCTTTAATCTTTTTAAGATGTCTTAGAATGGTAATAATTGCACGTCCAATATTATCTATTTTAAAGTTGATTTTTTTTGTTGTAGTCTTCAGATCTTGTTCAGTGATAAACACCTTACCTATTTATTGATTTATTGATTATATAATTGATAGATTATAGTATATAAATTTTTAATTGATTGATTGATTACCTTTAGTTTCTTCAATATCAACTTCTTTGTATTCCTAATACATATACATGTATATTAATATAAAGTATATTTGAAATATGATAAAATAATATGAAAAATACCCAATATTTCTTCTTTTCAGTTCTATTCAAATTACTTAATGGAGATTTAAGAATATTGTATTTTTCAAGAAACACTTCATTAAAATCCTTAATTGCTTCATTTATTTTATTGCGTGTGATGCGTTTACTATGAATATATCTTTAATATATAGATATATTTATGTGCAAGTATATATAGAATGTTAGTAAATATTCGCAAATGAATACATCAAGTATGAAGATTTTTCCCAAACACGTACTTTGGTAAATTGTCATACTCAGATATGGTAATAAATGATAAAACCGTTGTAGCAGTTGATTTCATTGTTTTTTGAATATTATTATTATTACGTTGCAATGGAGGACCAGTTGTCATTATAAAAGGATTTTCTTCCTCCTTTTTTGTTTCTTCTTCAGACAACTTGATTTGTTGCAGTTGAATTTGATTCTGACTTGGGTAATTTAGGTGAGAATTATTAGAATCGTTATTATTGTAAGGAATTATATCATTGTCGTTGATTAGATCTCCTGGTAAATGTTTTGGCAGATTATTATTTATCCATTCTAAATGTTCATTTTGAATCTTTAATTTAGATTTGATTTCCTTCATGTAATAATATTTTATTATGATTAATCTAATTAGAATTTAATGAACATTTCAGAATATTCATTTCCTGAAATCAATTAAATCATATTAATCGATAATATAGTTAACTTGAGCCTTTTCAATTGCTTCTTTTTCTTCTTTTATAAAAGTTGTCATTTGAGTAACATGTGTCTCAAGCTCACCAATTGTTTCATTTAACTCATGAAGAACATTTTCCAAGTTTCTTGGTGAACCTAAATCATTATAGTTAAATATTTTTAAGATACAATAAATATTATTTTTATGTGATTTACCTTCAATACGAAACATCATATTATCTTTTAAATCATTAATACGATCATTAAAATGTTGTATCATTCCCTCCATGTCTTATTGTAGAAAAAAAAGTTTTGACGCGTTGTGTGATAAAAAAATCGATAACAATAATAAAAATTCAGATTAGGCACGTGATTCAAGCACGTTAAATTTTCCATTTTTTGATGAGTTTGAAGATTATGAGACAAGTTGTTTTCAATGCATTAAAGGTCAAATCATAATTAGGCTCGAATTACAACATCCAGTGATAATCAACAACAAGACCACTCGGGACAATATCTCATTGGAAAACTGGATTCTCCTATACAGTGGGCTATTACAAGCCTCGTTAGCCAAGCCTTCACCATTAACCAAACAAAATCACAAGAAATAATCTTCAAGTCAATCCACACTCTTCACGAGAGATTCTTCACCAAATTTGACTAATGGGACCAAATTTCTTAAACGAGAATCCATAATCTTAACCCAAAAGAAAAAAAAAGAATGGGAATTTAGAATTCAATGGAATGGTTCTACAATAAAATGAAGCAGATTATAGGAGAAGAGGAGAACAAGAACCAAGAAATTTTTTTTAAAAACACCAATACTATCATTAAACAACTAATTGATCACTCTAAAAACTTCAATTTCTTCTTAAATACAAATCACATCATGAATCAATTAAACACCTACTTCCATTATAATATTAACCATAACAACAATGACATTAATTATCCCTAATGCTAATAGCATTAACATAATCCAAATATCAACATCAATAATACTGATATCAATGATAATAATAATGGTATGGTATAGAACCATTACTATCTAGATTTGTTCCTAACAGATCAGGTGAATGGTTATAAACTTCTACTCCAGATTATTATATCTTATAGATAGTTTATCTCTGTTATTTACAATTAAATTAAATAAAAAGGCATATCATATATTTAATCAATAAATAAACAATTGCAAGATAGTTAGTTACCAACACTGCTAAAAAAATTTTTTAATTTTTTAATTTAAATTCTAATTGTTTAATGAGCTTATCTATTTCTATCCCACTTTAAAAAAAATCCAAAACGTAAAAATAAATTATAACCATAATAATAAATAAAAAAACACGGCACTTGATAAATTTCAACATTAATTGTACTATGCAGTATTATCTTGCCTTGGTTGTTTTATCATTTTTGACATACTTCGAGTGATCCTAATATTTTCACTACTTTGCGAATGATATGGTGTTGTAGGTTCAGGAGTTTTGAATATATTTGTTTGATGTATTGGTGGTGGTGTTGATCTAATTTGAATTGATTTTGTTTGTTGTTTACCAGATGGGGTAGTAGATGATGAAGAAGCTTGTGGTATTTCATCTAATTGTTTTTCAGAGAACGGTGAATGATTTGGTAATTGCGGTGAATTATTGTTAACTTTTACAGGGGAAGGTGGTGAAGTGATGATGTTAATATTTTTGGTATTTTTAGGAGTGGTAGAAGCTGTATTGTTTTGAGGAGAAAATAACAATGAAGGTGATGTTGATATTTGTCCATTATTATTATTAAGTGGTGATTCAAGAGTTTCACTAATTATAACATTATTTTTATCTATTATAATTGTATCATCCTCATCTATTACATTTTCCACCTCCATTTGATTATCATTTAAATCAATAACTTCATAATTAATTGTTTGATTCTCTGTAAGTTTTTTAATTTCTTCTTTTTGTTGTTTTGGCAAACTATCCCATAGTTTCCTAATAATTTCATTACGTTTTTGAGTATTGATAGAACTGTCAACTATAGTTTCATTAGAAGTTTGTAGTTGATTTAACATGTTATTATATTTGAAAGTGTCAACAAGTTTGTTGTGATTTAAACAATACATCACCAAAAAATCCAATTGAGCATTCTCAATACAATATTTTTGTAGATATTCATATTCAGATTCATCTAATGTTAGATCTAATAGTACATTTAACCTGTCTTTTTTAAGAACAGGGAAAAAACAATAATTTAATATTTTTGTTAAAGCTTTAAAATCTCTTTCATCAACTTGCTTCTCATTATTGTGTTTTTTCTGAAACATGTAAGCTTGTTTAAGATCAAAGCTAATCAAGATATCTTGCTTAAGATCATTAAATTCTGCTATTGATTCTAATCTTTCACCATTTAATTCTGCATAATTTAAAGTTGTCTGAACGTTTGAATTTTTAAACAAGGTTTCTAATACTTTCATATCAAAATCAACTTTAACAGAAGGATCAGTTAAAAATCGTGAAGCTTCAATGTAATTACCATTATCCAGTAACCAATAACCATCCATTAAGTTCATAAAATTTGGCGGAATTAAATAAGTTGTTGCAAAGTGTTGGTGTTTATCTGAGCGCCAAAATTTTAATAAATAATACACAAGACAGTTTTGCCTTAAAGCATCTATTTCAGTATTAAAATCAATAGCATCAAATAATGCTTTTAATTCATCTTTGTTATGTGGTGGATAAAGATCATTATCAATATTTGCAAATTTAAGTAAAAGATCAATAATTAATTGATTGTCCATATTTGCTCTTCTTTGTAGTATCCCATCAATTGTAGCATTATTAAATGGAAAACTACTCAAACCTGATAATGAAGTAGAAGATAATTCAGGGAATAATTTATTAAATTCAAATTTTGGTTCTTGTGGTATAAATACCTCCCTTTCATATAATTGCATATCACGACTTAAAACTTGTGATTCATCTGAAAACAATAAAGTAAAGTCATCTTTATTACATACAGGTGTGATGTCTAATAGTCTTGGTTTGTTTGAATCTATTTTTTGGAAGAATGGAACTGTAATATTATGAGACCTTCCTATTCTAATCAAAGAAATTACATCTATAATTTTAACTTTATTATCATCTTTTTCAGCTTGACTGATTAAAACACTTAGGTTACATATTGATGATCCTTCGACTTTATTGATTTGCATATTGATTATTCTTCCTTTGATTGCATTGAATGGGCTATCTAAAGGAAAAGTAATTTCAAGAAGTTGTGGATCGCTGAGGCTGAGTGATACTTTAAAAACTCTGATTTGCAGATATTTATCGAGCTCAAGATCATTTCTACCACCATAGCCAACAATTAGTAAGTGACCCTGTTCTTCTGAAAGTGGCGAAGAGACAATTATATTTGTAATTGGTGCCGCAGGATCAGTTGCTTCAATGCGACGAATTAGATTAACATGTTTCATAGGATTGTAATAATATAAATCCAAATATCCCTTTTCAGTGCCAACAAATAGATAATGATAGTTTTTATATCTGAGAGGTTGATTAGTATATAAACTAACAGTTGTGACTACTAAATCAGTTTGATATTGGCCACAATGATAATTATACACTTTTGTATCATATTTGTCTTGAGAAAAAGGTTGTGGAGGAACTAACCAATAAAAATCTAATTTATTACCTAATCCAATGACCATTAAATAGGCTAATTGTTCCTCTGCTCTATTTGAATCAGTAAATTTTTTAATCTCAATATCACTACATTGAATTCCTTTAGAACACGTAATATTATTTCCTAATGAACTCTCATTTATTGATTTTAGGTTATGATGATGGAAAGGTTGTATTTGGTTTTGATGTTGTAAAATTAATGGTTGAACTGGATTTAACTTCGAAGTGAGATCATATAAAATGTAGTGAAATTGATTTTCTGATTGATTGTTGTTGTTGTGGCTATTATTATTATCATTATTACTTTCTGGCAATGTTGTTATCAATAAGTATGGGAAGCCATTCATTTTAAGATGGTGTACATTTAGGATTTTTTTGATATATTTAGAATCTTTTAATTTTGATTTATCATGATTATGATATAATTTAATATTGTAGTCCATAGTCCTAAATTCTGCAATGTATGCTTTTTTCCCTCTGAGAAATTTTATTGGAAGTGGGGGATAACTTTGAACCACTAAATGTTCATCATTGTAAAGATAATCATATTTACAATTTGCTATGCTGTCATCTAAACTACTATACCTTCCTTTAGTAAAAGATTGTGACTCATTGTTTTGATTTAGTTGTTCAGCAGAAATAAAACTAGTTATGGTAGAGGTTTGATCTTGTGGTCTGAAATTAGTCATCAACGTTTGTAATAGATGGACCATATTTAACGTAAGAAAGTAATAATAATAATAATAATAAAAATGGTGCGACATTCAATTACTTTTTTTGTATAATAAAAAATGTTAATCATACATACGTTTCTGGTTCAAAGATCATATAGAACTATTAAAAAATATTGATCTATTGATTCGGGACACGTGAAAATAAATCTAATGAATCATTATTCGATTCAAACAATAAACAATCCAGTGTTTATGTTAGAGGCAAATACTTTTTTTTTTTCACACTAAAGAAAGCAAATTTTAATGATCTAAAAAATCTATTAATTCTACAAACAAATAAACATATATATAAACATCTAATGTAAGAAAATTGTATAAATAAAATAATTGATACAGATATTAGCATTTTATTTTATTTTACAAAAAATGCATTAAAAGAAAAACAATAAAAAAATATGATTGATTTTGATGTTGAAAAACGAGAACGTGTTACGACCATCATTCGCGTTACCAACATCATCTAAAAATATTAATCACCGTTAATTACATACCATCTTATTCACTCATGTTATCTATATCAACTGCTATTATTATTTCTGTTCGTACATACTACCAATATTTTTCATTGGGGATTTTCTATTAGATAAATAAATAACCAGTCATTTATAAGTAATTTTACTCTACTATCCCCACTGATAACGCGAACAAAGTCATGATTGTATATGATGGCTATAAATGTAGTTTCCATGATGATTTAAATGTGGTATTGATGGAGTATCTTTTCTTTAAATAATTCCTTTTACTTGGCGAATAAACATTGGTATTAATAATTTTTTAAATTCCTTACCATCCAATAATTGTCGCCAATATTTGCTCCAAAGTCACTTTCAATGAATTAGGTTATGTATGATGAAAATGATATAACCGAAAGGAATAAAAATTATCATTTCTTAAAACAATCAAGGATCACGTAACATCTAATACAATGAATGATACTACCAATATGGTCTATTATATAGTATGTCAACAACTTCTTATAATATTTGTATTAAAAGTAAAATATAAACTAAAAATGGATATGCTATATGAATAAAAAATAATGACTGGATCTTATGATCGCGGTAAATTTTCTTGTTTTATTTAAACCCTAATTCTTAATACAAGGTTATTGTTATAATTAATTCAACTTAGTTATTTTTTCTAGCATCAACTGTTTTTTCGCCAGACGGACATTTATTTCAAGTTGAATATGCTTTAGAAGCTGTTAGAAAAGGAACTTGTGTGGTATTTATCTTTATTGTTTACGTTTGATATTTACTCAATCATTTATGAGGAATTTTTATGTTTATTGACAACAAAGTAAAATTTTAATTAATTCGTTGTATAGGTGGGAGTCCGTGGTGAAGATTGTGTTGTTCTTGGTGTTGAAAAAAAAACAGTTCTTAAATTACAAGATCCACGCACTGTACGAAAGATTGTCATGCTAGATGATCACGTATGCATGGCATTTGCTGGTACAGAATTATTGATGTTGCTGTTGTTGCTGTTATTATTATTGTGTTTTTTTTTGGAGGTGAAGATTATAAATTAATAATAAAAACATTAAAAATATATTCCTAATGAATTGTAAAAGGTCTTAGTGCAGATGCAAGGGTTCTTGTTAATAAAGCTAGAATAGAATGTCAAAGCCATAGACTTACTGTTGAAGACCCCGTAACTGTTGAATATATTACACGTTACATTGCAGGTGTTCAACAGGTATGTGGTTATAGTATTTATAATATATTAAATACTCGCTCAGTTAGACATTAGTAAATATTTAGGTATTATTATTATTATTTGATTTTAGAGATACACACAAAGTGGTGGTGTACGTCCATTTGGTATTTCAACACTTATTATTGGATTTGATGCTAATGATAAAGTACCAAGACTTTATCAAACTGATCCATCTGGCATATATTCAGCATGGAAGGTAAATATTACAAACATTACATACTTATTTAATGTTTTGATTAAGAGAGTTTATAAGTTTTTTAAACTTGATGAATATTTTTTTTAAAAAAATCAAAAGGCAAATTCAATTGGAAGAAGTTCAAAAACTGTTCGTGAATTTTTGGAAAAAAATTATAAGGAAGGGTTTATCAAAAGATGAAACCATTAAAATTGGCCGTTAAATCTCTTTTAGAGGTATGATAACTATTATATATAGACATGTATGTGTGTATATATTTGATAATAACAGTTTATAAATTTATTAGGTTGTACAAACTGGCTCCAAAAATATCGAGATTGCAGTGATGACTAATGATGCTATAATTAAAGTAAACAGCCTTTTAGTATTATTATTATTAACACCACTAAGATTACTAGATCTCTATAGATTTATGTAATTGAAATTGTTATTTTAATTATTATCAATATTATTATAATTCATGATAAACATACAGAGTTTAGAAATCGAAGAGGTTGAAGTTATAGTAACCGAGATTGAGAAAGAGAAAGAGGCAGAAGCAGAAAAGAAAAAGAAACCAAGTACATCCTAAATCATTAAAATAAATAAATTGATTGATCGAAATCTTCAGATGTAGAAATGATATTAGTACACGTTGATTTGTATCATAACCCATAACCTAATATTAGGACAACGTTATTTATCATATGAATCATAATATGTTCAATTAATCCTTCCTGGAATTGCAATCAAAATGTCAACTTTGATTGTTGCTAAATTATTATTAATATTATAATTTAATTTTTAGAAAAACAAAAGATATATAAATAAATAAATTACTCTTACAATAATTTGCTCTTGCTCATGAGCAAACAAATGTTGGCCTGTTATTAACAAAATCATCTATTCAATTAAACCAATAGACATTAGACATTAGTATAATTTAAACATTAAGAAAAAAAATTTTTTGCTAATATAATATATTTGATTTATTTATTTATTCTTTTTTTATTTAATGATAAAATTTAAAAGCTAAAAATTTCATGCTTAAAAGACTAAAGAAAGAATATAAATAAATTTGAAACAAATCATCATAGAACCATACTTCTAATTCAATTAGTGATGTTTAATTTTTTGAATAAAAATTATTTTTTATTATTATAAATTAATTAATCAACATATAAATTAATAACCAAATGCATGGAGTTGTTGTTGAACTTTCTTTAACTCTTTTTCTTTGTTCTTTAAAGCATTAGCCTTGATTTGAGCTTCTTTCTTTTTACGTTCATAAAATTCTTTACTCTTGACTTTACGTCTATCCTCTAATTTCTTAACAACATCTTTATATTTCCATCCAACTTCTGTTGATAAACGTGAGATCGTTGTAAATTTACGACCTGGTTTCAACTTCAAAACTTTCAAAGCATCAGGCATTACCATTCTTTTTTGTTTATCATATGGTGGTGGTATACCCTCAAAGATCTTAAGACGTTTTAATGCTGCAGCTCCACGTGATGATTTATGTGGAATCATACCACGTATTGTCTTATAAAATATTTTGGATGGTGCTCGAAAATGAAATGGTCCACGTGCTGGATTTACAATTGATCGCTTACGAAGATAGGAATGATACTTGACTATATTCATTTATATATGTGTGAGTTTATATTGTATTTAAAATTGATGTATTAAGTAAGATTAATGAAAAAAAAATTTTTTTAAAAGAAAATCAAAAAGAATTATCGACTTAATTACTCTTGTTCCTGAAAAATGATCCAGATACATTCAAATCTTCTGCACGGACAATAACAATTTTTTGACCTGTTAAAATTTGTTTGGCCACAATTGATGCTAAGCGTCCCAATAAATGTCCTTTTGCATCAATAATAACAACCTTTTTTCATAATAGTATGTATAATTTAAAAAATATTAATTAAAAAAAATTGATTCACGAGTAAATTATTAACTTACCTTTTCAAAATCACTCATATTGATGAATATATAAATAACTTGCAAAAAATTTTTTTTGAAAAATCTAATTTTTCTAATGATTTACATGTTACATGTCTTGTGTTACAACAAATTGTTATAAATGGGGCATACTAATACTGCAACAAAACCAAAGTGAATAGAACATTGGTATTTCCAAAAATTTCAGGATAAAAATTTAGTCATTTGCAATGTGATCATAATTAACAGTTTTATAATATCCCATTTGTTATCTTAAGTGATATATATATAGAACTATCCCTATATAAAAATAGTTAATATGAAACAGCTGATAATAGTGGGTCATCGTCATCAAGAAGATTGCTTTTTATATAATTTCTAATTGTGCTAAGAATTTCATTTGAATTTTTCCACTAAATTTTTAAAACAAAAATATAGTCGCACAGCACTTGCATTAAATCTGACGTCTGCGATCAGCATCAGATTTATTATTCATTTTAAGGAACTATACAATGAGAACTATAATATTTTTTTCGATCCTCCCTATTTATTTATTATTGAGAGTCCCAGAGATCTGAATAGACAGGCATTATTAAAAGTTTCATTCATGCATGGCCTTGGTATTATTACTACCTGTGTGATGTTGGAATTCATACTCTCTTTCTTTTATAACTCCTATCTGCTCCATCTGCCCTGTCTTCTATTTGGGATCGTGAAATCGAAAAAACGTCCATCATAAGTGATTTACAAATTTTGAGCACGATTGAATATGGTGCTTAAATTCAAAATACATGCACATTTGTGCATGTAGATTTTTATTTTAAATGCACATGTGCATTAATATTGAGATTTGATTTAGTTAATTGGTTAGAAGCATTAAAGCTGTTATCAGCCTTTGAAGCAATTGTATCATTAGTTTTTTTTTTGGTTTTGGATGGTCATTAATATTAAAAGAACCATCAAAAAATTGTGAATTGTTTATCTTGTAATTGTAAACCATTATCTTCCATTTTGAAAAATTTTAAAGAAAAAAATCATTCCCGATAATTTATCATATGACTACTATATGTGCAAGTTTAAATTTGTATGCACATCTTGTGCATATTTAATCTGTATTTTTAGGTGCACAAAAATTACTGTGCAAGCTTTATTTAAAATATTTAATGCACATGAGTTCAAGGACGTTTTGATTATACCTGTACATTTCAAAAAACACCCGCGCCTGTGCAGCTTGTGCAAGCCAATCTTAAACACTGACTATATATGATAAACATGTTTGCTTCAAAAGTTAACACCTTTTGTACTTCTAAAGTGTTAAGAAGGCTGTATAACAAGTCCTTACTTCTAAATAATAGAATATCAACCTCGTCAAGAGCATTCCAAGAATTGACAAAGGATGAAAAAGGAGAAAAATTCCATTTTCCAGGAACTAGAAATAGCTATTTTACGAGCAAAATGCAATTTATTCAAAGCATTGATCCTATACCAACATATCGAGTAATGGATGAAAATGGAAAGGTTTTAGCTTCAGATCAGGAGCCGTCTGTAAATATCGATAAACTTACACTTGCATATATATTTTAATTATCCCTCTTCTAATATATGTTTGCTTAAATATGTGACAAAATAGGTATCAAAAGAATTCGCCATCAAAATCTATAAAGATATGCTTACATTAGACACGATGGATCTTATACTTTATGATGCTCAAAGACAAGGACGTATCAGTTTTTATTTGACAAATTATGGGGAAGAGGCATATATTGGTAGTGCTGCAGGATTAGATAGCCAAGATATGATTTTTGGACAATATCGTGAATCAGGAGTGCTATTATATAGAGGATTTACGTTGGATCAATTTATGAATCAATGCTATGGTAATGAAAGGGATTTAGGTAAAGGTAGGCAAATGCCTGTACATTATGGATCTAGAGAATTAAATTTTCAAACTATTTCTTCACCACTTGCAACACAAATTCCACAAGCATCTGGAGCAGCTTATGCATTTAAAAGAGCTGGAAAAAATAATTGCGTTGTATGTTACTTTGGTGAAGGTGCTGCCAGTGAAGGTGATTTTCATGCAGCATTAAATATTGCAGCAACTTTGAAATGCCCTGTTATATTTTTTTGGTATGTATAAACAATATATGTATGTGTATTTCGTTTGTCTGGGAAGCCTTAATGATATATTGAATATAAGATAATTAATCTAAAAAGTTATTTTGGAAAAAATAAAAAAGTCGCAATAATGGATTTGCAATTTCAACACCAGTATCAGAACAATATAAAGGAGATGGTATTGCAAGCCGAGGCATTGGATATGGAATTGATACAATTCGTGTTGATGGAAATGATGTATGGGCTGTTTACAATGTTACGAAAGCAGCACGACGCTTAGCAATTGAAGAACATCGACCAGTTTTAATTGAAGCTATGTCATATAGGGTAGGGCATCATAGTACATCGGATGATTCAACAGCATATCGTTCAAAAGAAGAAGTAGAAGACTGGAAAAGGTTTGATAATCCAATAGTCAGATTTCGAAAATGGCTTGAAATCAAGGTATTTTTACTTTACCATGTTTTTAATAATTTAATATTTTTTTTATGTGTTTATAATGATAAGCATAAATGATTTATATTGAATTTAGGAATGGTGGAATAATAAAGACGATGAAGAATTTCGACAATATATTCGAAAAGAGATTTTAAAATCATTTTCCAAGGCAGAAAAACTTCAAAAACCATCAATAACAGAATTGTTTAGCGATATATATGATAAACACACACAGAACATTATTAATCAAAAACAAAAATTAAAAGAATTGATTCAAAAATATCCAAATAATTATCCATTAAAAAAATATAAGAATGAAGGCAAAGATTTATAGAAACAAAATTTATTAGACTCGATTAATTAATTAATTATTAATTTTGATTATTCTGCTTGTTACTAAATGTACTATTAGAAAATTTACGTAATTTTTTTACTTCAATTCTTGCTATTATTATTACTGATTAATAAATACTCGCAATAAATGTGTATTTATCTACTACTTTTTTCACTCAACATAACATCCATCATATATAATATTATGCAATTATTTATTATCTTTTCCTTACGCACTTTCATTTAAAGATTTAGGATATGTTTGGATGCGAACCAATCTAAAAGTTACATATGAAGCAAAAAATTGCATAATTTTCTGTCAAATAAACAGGATTCAATATAAAATATATAAGGCAGATAAAAATTTATTATGAATGATAAGTTAAATATTTTACAAATTTCATGCTGCTGGTGAATATTTACAAGAAAGCAATATTTTTCTAAACTCAAAAATAGTTATAAGCATACATCAATTATTTATCTCAATTCATTTGAAGACATATAAAGACCTAGCATATCAATACTTGAGTTTTTAAAATTATCATCAATAGGAAAAAATTTTGATGATAAATAAGGAGGCAACACTAGCAAGTTTCTATATACATCAAAAACTCCATTAAAAACTTCATTAGATAAAATTGAGGCCTGGGTCAAAAAAGAAAATCAGAAAAAAGATAATTCTGTTATCATTAGCAGTAGCAGTAGAAATAATTTTTCAAGTAGCAGTAATATAATTTTTGATAGTAATAATAGTAATAATAACAATGATAACAATAGCTAACGTGGACAGGGAAAGGAACTGCCCAATACTTTACAATGTAAAGGGCCTAGGATCCTGGCAGGCATGTTATATGCTTTATTCCTCCCTCTTTGTCCCTGCTCCACAATCCTGTCAGCATAGGCTGACCTTTACATTGTAATTTATAACATAAAATTATTTTTTTGTATCAAATAAAGTAGTAGGAATTTTATTATTAAACTTCAGGTGAATGTGAAAAAATACAAGTTTGGGACTTTGCTAGTGATACATGACAAAGTTTCTATGCTAATGTCTAATGTATAATCTGTGGCTTGAAACTTCATCCTGCCTTATATCTATCTAGCAAGTTAGAATATTTGAGCTGTGTTCCTCCTCAAAAAGCTTTCTCCTCTTTTTTGTGTCCTCCCAACTTGCCATCCCAAAGTCAATCAGGTACACATTGCCATTATTGTTAATTAAGACATTTTCCTCCCGAATGTCATTGTGGAGGATGCCATGCTTGTGAATCATTTCTAATCCCTTAATAGCTCATGACTTTTGCCGTTTTGTTATTTTATGCTAAAACAACATAGTACCAACAATGGTCATGCCAATAACAAAACTCATCCCTCCTCCATAATATCCATAGCACACCAACTTTGGGATATACTTGCCTTGGATATCAGCAAGGTCTTTATAAATCTCTACTTCTTTCTGCATTTCTTCCAAAACATATGGTGGGGCTTTTGATAAGTCTACACTCTTCAAAGCAATTGTATCCCCATGAAAATTGCATGGGAGTGTTTTTCCACTTCGTCCTTCACCTAGTATGCTCTTAAACTTAAAGCCTGCAAAGCTAAAATTCTGCTGATGAGGAAGTGATTGTTGTTGGTACACTGGTGTGCTGGAAGTTGTTTGTTGATTTGCCAATTGGCTAGAAGATAATTTTGACTGTGATCGAGAAACATATGAATTATTACCCTCATGAACTTGTACTAGTATCTGAAGTTGGTGAGGGGAATTATGATCCTTTTTTGCCTGTTGAGTTATATAAGCATATGCCTTGAGTACTGGTGGATATTTTGATTCTAATGGAAGGGTTTTTGAAACCCAAAGCTCTGTATGCTTTCGGCATAGAAACCAATGATTATCTTAAGTAGTAAGGATACCATATCTAAGTTCATTTTCTCCAATATAGTTGTAAATTTGTTGGATTACCATTCTTGTCTTTTCACTTGTTCGATAAAATTCAGGAAAAGTTTGTTCTTTGATATCTCCTAAAACATGTTTCCTCTTAACTTCAATTACTAATATCAATGTTTCTGCAAGATAACAGTTGAAATCCGGTATGCCAGTAGGGGTCTGATTCATTTCGTCGAAAGTTTGTTTCATCGAATGTTCATTTCGTCGAAAATTTGTTTCGTCGAAAGTTCATTTCATCGAAAATTATTTCGTCACAAAAAAACTTCATTAATAGTCGCGGGACATTGCAGATCAAGTGTCATTCAATATAAACGTTACACGAATAAAATTATTATCGTCCACTTCAAA